ACTCTCTCTGAAAAGCAACTGAGAAAATATCTTTGGGTGAGGATTAAAAAAAAAAAGAAGCAATTCACACACATGTGGAAAAAAGAAACTCTGAGTGGCCCTGGCTGGGTGGTTCGGTTGGTTGGAGCATCATCCTGATGCACCAGGGTGTGGGTTTGATCCCTGATCAGGGCACATACCAATGACTGCATGAATGGGTGGAGCAGTGGGTCGATGTTTCTTTCTCCCCCTTCCTCTCGCTCTAAAATCAATAAATAAAAAATTTAAAAATAAAATCTCAGAGTGTACAGACTGCCATCAGAAGTGCCCCCCCCATACATACTCTTTCATACCCCAGAGGTAACAATTTTAATAATCTTGGAACTGTCTTCACACAGGTCTACATATGTGGTGGGTTTAACGGAAATGAATGCCTGTTTACAGCAGAAGTGTACAACACTGAGAGTAATCAGTGGACAGTCATAGCACCCATGAGAAGCAGGAGGAGTGGAATTGGCGTAATTGCTTATGGAGAACATGTATATGCGGTGAGTTTACCTTTTACCACAACAAAATGATACCCCTTGATTTTCTATTAGCAAATAGGTTTATACCACCACTGGTAAGCACTTGAAAAGGTTTTTTTCCATGAAGACAGTGGAAGAGGGAGGTATGAAATCACTAGTCCTCCCCTAAGAGGGCCTCCTAGGTGAACAGAATCAATGGTTAACAATCCATCATGTTTCCATTGCTGTCCACAGGTAGGCGGCTTTGACGGAGCTAATCGACTTAGGAGTGCAGAAGCCTACAGCCCAGTGGCTAACACTTGGCGCACGATCCCCACTATGTTTAACCCTCGGAGCAATTTTGGCATTGAGGTGGTAGACGACCTCTTGTTTGTGGTGGGTGGCTTTAATGGCTTTACCACTACCTTTAATGTTGAGTGCTATGATGAAAAGACTGACGAGTGGTATGATGCTCATGACATGAGTATATATCGCAGTGCTCTGAGCTGCTGTGTGGTACCAGGGCTGGCCAATGTTGGGGAATATGCAGCTAGAAGGGACAACTTCACAGGATTAGCACTGCGAGATGAAGTAAAGTACTCCGCTTCAACAAGTACCCTACCTGTATGAGCCTCTTCATTTAGCTAATAAAAAGTCTAAGCAATAAGAATTAATTCTCTTTTTAAATAAATGCAGTGTTTAAACTTGTAAGAGTACTGGAAAATGTTCAACATAAGGGAGCCAAGGGTTGGGTAAATGAGGGAGTAAAAGGGAAGGAAGAAAGCAATTATATTCAACAGTACATGTTTAAAAAGGAAGAATTACACAGTGCAAACCAGCTTTAATGAAATACGTTTATTTAAAGCTTACATTGAGACCATTAGTAGCTTTAACACAGAACAAGATAGCTTCAGGAACACAAAACAAGCTATTTTACAACGTAATGTCTCAAAGTGTCCTAAATTCCACATCTCCTCTGATTTACAGGAGATCGTCAAGATTATACTTTCAGTAGAGTAGGGCTTGGATACTGCTAGCCTCCAAACTCACTGTATATCAGCTTAAACTAAGTATTTATGTTACAAATAACTCCGTGAGCCCTAGCACAGGGATTCTAAGATCTTCAAACATCTAGCAAGCACTACTTTTCATGAATGCATTAGGCAGGAGGATTAAGTTAATAAGTGCTCTATTGTATGTGCTTCACTGTCACGGTAATGTCATATAGAGCAAGACAAAAGTCCTACAAAGGTAAGCAACAAATAGCAGTTATTTGGCTATCTAGATTCCTTGGAGCAAAAAGACTTATGAAGCAAAAATATTATGTTATTGTATTACATCACTCAACTATGAGCTCTTTTGTTTCCAATGACCAGAACACAGCATTATAACAAAAACAAAAATGGACTGTTCTCAAGAAATTAACAAACTGGAGTGATGAACTGTGCCAAAATGTTTGACAGTTAAAAAAGGAGACTGAATTGTTTCTCAAGTATTCTACAGTTAAACAGCAACCTACAGGCACCCTATTTTTCTAGTGTAGGCAGATGAACATGCTTCACAATTCTCTGTGTTTTCAAAAGACATGAAATGTGACCAATATGCCCTTTTTACTTAAGCTTAATTTGAGGCAAGTACAAAAAAAAAAAAAAAAATCCCTTTGGTTATGCTTGATTAGGCCAAGTAACTAAAATACACAATTTAGCTTACCTGTCTACCAATATATAGTGTTCATATTAGAATTATGAAACAGAGAATAAAATATTTAAATATACCACATGCTACACCAGTCAAGAAACATGAAGAAAACAGTGAGCACTAGAAACTGCCTTACCAGCAGCCTGAAGAATTTAAAATACAAAAGCACACAAATCTTCCATAAACACCATCTTCTCAGCTCTTCTATATTAAAAAGTTAGTGTTTAAAATTTTTGGTCCCAGAAATACTACACAAAACCAGCTGATCAAAACAAAACTGATGTCAATGAATTTTGAGATTTTTTTTTTTAGCAAAATATTTTTGAATTGGCACAGCAAAAGCCAAGATACCAAGATACACAAGACTAGTCATGCAAATAACGGCAAGTGAGATACTTAAACACTAAGCTCATGACTGACATTCTCAATACATACCACTGATTTTTTCAAAAGCCATAGCTGGGTAGGGATAGTTAAAAGATATCCACTCTGAGATAGAAGTAGCTTCACTCATAGTTATGTATAGTTGTTACTTTTTGTATAATCAATTCCTCTTTTCTTTCCACAAAACAAAACCAAAAGCAACAAAAAAAGGTTTGCTTAAATACACATTAATTGCCTTTTTAAAGCTGTATTTTTAACTGCTTAGATTACCAAACACAATCTTTAAGTTTTCATCAAAAAGGACATTTTAACCCCCAAAAAGCCACTTTAGGCTCTTCATAATCAGAACCTTTCCAAATACGCCAGGAAGTTATTTTCAGTTTAGAATTTCAGAATGTCAGCCTTGAACAGATTTAAGCAAATCTGGTTTCTTTCCTGATTAACAAGTTAGTTAGGATATTTCAGAAACACAAGTTATTGATGTGAAATCACACATGTGAATTCAAATATGAAAATTAGAAATTCAGTAGTCAGGAAAACCTGCACACATCATCATGCAAGGAAGGACTTACCCCTTCTTTTCACCCATGGCCTAGGCTGCCTGCTAAGTTAAAAAACAACAATTTCAATCAAGTTTTCAAAACCAGATTATACCTAAATCTTGTGAGTTATAATTTCTGCCATATCATGTTAAAAAAAGACAACCCTCCAATAATTAATTGGTGACCATCTCAGAAAACTCTGAGACAAAACAACAACAAAACCCACATCAGCCCCAAATTCCTGCATCATATCCTTCTAGAGAGAAACAGGCATTCTAGTGAGCTACGTACTGAATTTAAACAACCAAGAAAAGGAAGTTTGCTAGCACAGTCTATCAGAGACAAATGAGAACTTCATTCAATGAGCTTTTCTGTCTTAATGCATAGATCTCCTAGATCTCTCACAACTAAGAATTAGCACTTCTCATAATCCATTGGCTTTTAATTAAAACTACAAATACCTAGAAATTGAGAAAATGGTTAGGGTGGAATAGGATAATATATCCTCATAGAGAAATATGACTTGCAGTTTCCTACCCCCATCCCAGTGGTTTTAAAGCAGATTTCCAACATGTTTACTGAAAAACTATCCTAGGTAGGGATAACAATTTAGAAATTTCAGGAAAGTTCTCAGCATACAGTCCAAGGGCTAAACATTAGTCTTGCAGCAAACTGGGAACTAAAATTTCTGGTTGTACTTATTTATTTATTGATGTTTGATACAACTATAAGAAGGTTACCTATAATGGAGTAGAAAAAAAGATCAATGCACTTAGAATTCAACTTTATGGACAGTGTTCTGGAATGTCTAAGATAGTAGAGACATTCCGAAAGAAACAAGAAAAATATACTGGACTCACATGGCAAACAGGAAGAGCAGCAGTTACTGAGCGGTAAAATAGTGAACCCGAGTGTTATTTTGTGTAAAGCTTGGGAGTGTGTTAAGAGAATCAGAAGAATGCATAAAAATAAATAAAATATAATTGTAATAAATTCTGAAGAGCCAGAATTGTGCATTTAAATTTGGTATTCAAGGCTCAAAGTTCCAATTAAAGTTCAGGGCAACTGGGGAGCATTTGAGAACCTGCTCCCCGCATACGGCATACGTGGTCAGTTTGGTTCAAATACACTCTTATGAAAAAAAGTCTCGGGCAACTGGATATAACATTATTTAACCGGGGCTGAGAAATAAGGCTTCTCTTTAGCAACATTTCTCTAAATTGTTATTTCCTTTCCATTTGAAACAAGTTTCTTTTAGAAAGGAATGAAGATTCTATTAAATATGCATTAGAGCAAAATTTAAAACTGAAGGCATTGAGTGTCGATTGTCATAGGCATTATTTACACTCATGAACTTATCCTCAAGTAAGCCTGAAACTCCTGAAAAAGGTATTTAAAAATTTTTTAATGCCTTTGATTTCTCAGACTACACTAATAATACTTCTCTCTTCTCAGAGAAACAGATTTCACACATATATAATGTCTTCTGTATTCAATCAGTCAGCTAAAGATCAATACTTGTGCCAACTACCATCATCTCAGAGTGACGGCTTCAAGTCAGTAACTCAGTTACTGANGCTAAAGATCAATACTTGTGCCAACTACCATCATCTCAGAGTGACGGCTTCAAGTCAGTAACTCAGTTACTGACTGAAGAAATGAAAAATATTCAAAAAAATGCATGAGCCAATCACAAGTTTCTCACCAGTCATCTCTTCTAGAAGGAGATGACACCATTTCTAGATAAACAAAATGTCAATGCAAACATTCTAAAAAGATCTTGCTGAAATATTGTGCTTTTTCCTTCAAATATCAGTCCCACTATTGCACATACCTCTTACAGATGAGGGCTCAATGCATAAATTCTGATCTTGTCAAAACCAACCGTTTAGAGAAAAAATGAAAAGGAATATCAAGGTAAATGTGCAAATAAAATTGGTGCTTAAAGCATGTTCAAAACCTAAGTCCCTAAGACAAAGGAGTTATAACTTCTTGGCAGAAAACCAGCCAAATAACTACACTTGGTTTTCACGCTTGTCTTTAGTAAAATCTTATTTAGCTAGCACATACACACAAACCAAAGACAGAGACCAAAGGCAAAAAAAGACTGCAAGCTAACAAAAATTACCACGTATTGAATTGAGTTTCCCAGTTTTCTGATTTTAACTATATTTCCTTTATAGGGGGCAATCATCAATTCAGGTAGAAAATAAGTTATCGACATACTTTTTCAAGTAACAGTCTGGATATTTTCAGCTTCACAAAACAGGTATAACTGTTTTAAGCTGCATGTATTAGAGAACCTAGCATTCTATTTGAGAGCTTGGCACTCGCCGCATGTTTAAGGCGTGCCGATGTATTTCTTGCATCTGTCTGATCCGGTCCTTCTGCCACATTAAGTTTTGGGGCATAGGATATCTCTGTGTGCCATGCAAGTACCGGTATGGGATTCTCACATGGCAAGCAGTGGCTCTACAACGAGGCTGAGGCATGGGAGGAAGAAGCATCCACCTCTTTCTCTCAGCACAGTATCGGTAGGCTTCTTTCCGATACTGCTTGTCTATATCATCACTGTTTTTCCAGCCTCCAATAATGAAAACGTCATCTTTGTAATAGCAAATGGCTGCCCCTTCAATGCTTAGGACTTCTGGAGGTAAGCTTTCAAGGATCTCATCAGAAACTTGGCTGGCAATTTTTCTGACTGCCTCTTCATTTTCTAAAGAATAACTCTTGGGACAGCACGATGCTGTCTGATAGAAGTTTGAATTGACCACGGACATTTGGAAAAAGCAGTAATTGTCAATAAGTGGCAAAGATTTCACATCTTGCCACTGTCGAGTCTCTGTATCATAGCAAGTAATTACAGCCTTTAATCCATCTTCAGTGTCCCGGTCCACAGGAGTGCGGGCAGCAATGTACACAAATCGGTCTTCAATGGCTAGTGCTTTGACATCTCGAAGAATCTTTGGTGCTGATTCCAAGTTGTGCCATTTATCAATCTCGGGATTATAAACAGTAACATCTTTAAAGCCAGGACTAAAGTTGCCATGTCCTCCAATGCTATAGAGCTTCCCTTTGACTTGTGTTAGCCCAAAAGAATGCTTCCTTGTCATCAGACTACAAACATGTTCCCATATATTAAAATTTGGGTTATATCTTTCCACAGTTTTAGCAAACCCTGGTTCCATTGATCCAGCAACATACACGTGGGATTCTGTTACTGCAACTGCATGTCCATCCAGGTGATTATGAATATGGGGCAGGTTTACCCATCTATCCTCATCAACAAAATATCCCACACATTCACTTAAATAGTCCCCTCCTTCCGACACGCCTCCAATAACCATGATCACATCCATGTTTTGCCCATAGCGAGGTAATAATGACACATGAGAAGCAGGATGCTGGAATGTGCCAGACTGTATGTTCTCAGCTCTCAGAGCATGCCTCTCCACTGCATCAGCCACTAACTTGACACAAACTTCATTATTGGCCACCAGCCTCTCTGGTTTGACATGCCGAGTAAGGTAAGTAGGTTTCATCTGGGACAATCTGAGCAATTTAAAGAGTTCTTCAAAGTATCTCTCCCTCTCTTCAGCATTTCTTTGAACCCATTTCAAAACTGTTTCAAAAAGAACCTCTTCGGAATCAACCGTAATTTCCAAGTCCGACAGCCAGTCTCGAATAAGATGGAAAGGTAAAGTATAAAATTCCTCATCCTGAATTACTTTGTGGAAATTTCTCCGTATCATATCGGCAGCTTTCAGAGCAAGTTGGCTCAGGGTATACATGTGAGCTAAGCTATGAATGGCAACGCAGTTAGAAAGATGAAGTTTTTTCTTGAGAAATTCTCCACAAAATTCTTTTAAACGAATTAATAGGAACCTAAAATCAAGAAAAAGAAGGATTAATTTTCAAATGTGCATATTTTATGTGGCTACATTTTGAGAGCATTTGGATTATACAAATTGGTTTCATCTCACTTTATGCACAATATCTAAAAAAAAGCAAATCCTCCCAAATTAAAATGGATTATGCTGAAAAGTATGTTTAAAAGCATATATAAAATCATCTTTATTTATGATCAGTTTAAAATTACTTATATAGTTTGTATATAATTATATATTATGCATAACACAAAATGGAATTTTTAAATTATATAAGGTTTTTCAGAACATATCCTTTAATAAAGTACAATAGTCCCATACTTTATTTTCACTTTGCCTTTGGGAAAGGCAAATCCCAATTCAAACTCGTCTGTGCTGTCCTGCCCTAATCCCTCGCCAGTAACTAGCCTCTTCTTCGATGAGGCAGGGTCTCAGTGAAAACACTTTACTGAGCGTTGCCTGCATGGCAACGGAACTGTGGCTCCTAGGAGGCCGTTTGCTCAAGCATCAGAAGAAACAGCAGTAGAGGTTTTATGTCAGAGGTTTAAATCTCCTCTTTACCAGAACTTTCTTCCAGGTCAGCAAGTAGGGGATGCGGGAGGGTGCTGGAGAGTGCCAGAGCACTTTGTGCCAAGCTGCATTCTCATTAGAGCAGAGGTGGCAAAGCAAACTCAAGCATCTGAAGAAGCCAGGAAATAAAACAACAATAAAAAACACACACTAGCGCAGTCCAGGTTAAAAAAAATAAAAGAAAGTGGTTTGGCATGTAGCTGACTAGAAATTGCCCACTTAAATTTGTTTGAAATTTAAAAGACCCCAAGCAAACAAAAATCCACAATAGTTTCAGACAAATCCATAAATCTGGCAGAATTCGGCCCCAAGGGTAGTCAATTTGAGGCCACAGCTTTAAAAAGAGAAAGTCCCCAGAACTGAGAACCTTAACAATATAAGGATGACTTCATCAGTCCAGGCCTCTCTAATTCAGCAATCATTTGTTGTTATAGTTATTACAGCCACTGTGAACCCTGAGAAAGAAGACACTTCCTAACAGTGGGCTCCTGGTAGCTAACAGCGCTCAAATTTTTAAAAACGGTCTACCTGCCATTTCTACACAGGGGCCTTTCACTTCAAAGAGAGGCAAGCGCTGAACCACCTGCCTGCACTGTTTCTGCCATCTGAGCCAGCCCTTACAATGGAGTTCCCGAAATTCAATTTCTACCAACAGGACTGAGGCTTTCCCCATCCAATCAAAGCTGTGCAGCTCCAACCAACCAGAGTGGCTCTATTCTGACCAATCAGGACAGTGCCTTTTGGACCAATCAAACTGTGACGATTTGGAGTCCTCATTTGGGTGAGGACAGACTAATTGAAGAGGATAGGCAGACCATTTGGACTTATGTCCAAAGAACCCAGCTCCCCTCTGGCTCTGATGCAGGCTGTCCTTTTCCACCAAATACTGGGTATCCCTGGCTGAGCTGAAACACCAAAGACCTCAATGGAGCAGTGCGGAGCATATTGGTGCAAGCCACAGCAGTCTGGCACAGAATGCAGCAGACCAGCATAGTGCAGAGCAGTCTAGCTAAAGAGGGGCCTAGCCCCAGGGCTGCCTCATAGCCATGTGGTGTCACAATGGAGCTGTTCCACAGCCCATGGTGTTTTCACAGCTGTGCTGTATAACAATTGAGCTGTTTTCGCAGGAATAAAATTTCCTCCTTCACCACACCCCAAACTGGAGATTCTTGTTGGCACCGAATTGGTTCGAACCACCATCAGATAACACTATCTAACAATAATATAAAGATGAGTAAGACAGGTTGCCTTCACCCTCTTTGGGAACATACATCTTAGATATAAGACAAAGACAAGGTGGAGGAGTAAGAGTTCTAGTGGCTCTCAAACATGTCTGGGTGCCAGGGTCACTAGATTCCCAGGCTCGCCACCTTCTCCCAGCTCCTATTTTTGGCAGGCACTCCAGGTAATTATGACACCTATTCCCTTGGGCAGGTTTTTAGAAACACTGCCCTATGAAAACAACTGCTAGCATAGACTAGGCATTTGCCCTGTGATGGGCACTGCACACTGCACTTCCTGTAATTTACGTTAGAACTGCCCTATAAGGAAGGTATGATTAACAGAGTATATGGGGAGAGGGGGTGTAGGAAGAGGGATCCTGCCTCAGAACTGATAAGATTAGATGTGATGGTTTGCTGGGCACTCAGAGCAGTGCCTAACACACGGCAGCTGCTCAGCAGCTGACAGATGGAGAAAAGTTAGTGTTTTAAGCAAATTGCCTGGGGTGTTGTTTCTTCCTCCTTACCCCCAACTCCCCAATAAAGCAGGGACAAATCTGAAAAACACAAGCTCACTTTACAGAAGCAAACACAGCATGAGTGAATGCAATGACCCCTTCCCCCCCTTTCAGATCTATAACTACCCCCCTCTACCCTTTAATGCAGGGGTGGGGAAACTTTTTTTCTGCCAAGGGCCATTTGGCTATTTATAACATCATTCTTGGGCCATAAAAAATTATCAACTTAAAAATTGTCTATGAAAAAAGCTCCTAGATTTATTGAATTTATAATTCCATCTGGGGTTGCCTTGGCAGGGCCAGACCGAATGATTTTGAGGGCCATAGGAGGGGCAGACATTCTCCACCCCTGCTCTAATGGCTGACCCAGCCTCACACTTTAAGAGAAGTGAGCAGGCAGAAACTTCATCTTCCCACCACCCAAAATGCGTATAGTTATACCCTATACTATACCTTCCCAGTCTAACATTTCCATTTTTAATAAGGACTTTTAAAAAAATGTATGTTTTTATTGATTTTTTAGAGAGACGAAGGGAGAGGGAGAGAGTGTGAAACATCCATAATTGGCTACCTCCTGCAGGCCCCCTACTGGGGATCAGGCCAGAAATCCAGGCATGTATCCTGAATGGGAATCCTCTTGGTGTATGGAACAACACTCAACCAAGTGAGCGACACCCGCCAGAGCTTTAATATGGATTCTATCCCCTTCTTGATTTCAAGGACTTGGCTCCTGAAATTATTCCCATTCCTGTAACATCAATTTCTCCTCTTCTACTGGTTCATTTTTCATCAGCACACAGATATGCTCTAGTATCTCCTATCTTAGAGGGGCGGAAAGATAGAGCTCCCTGGACTCCTCCCCAAACATTTCTATGTGTATCATTTTTCTGATCCTCTTTGCAGCAAGATTTAACTTAAATGGCTCTTGTCCTTGGCAGAGTAGCTCAGTTAGTTAGAATGTCATCCCAATACACCAAGGTTGTGGGTTCAATCCCTGGTTAGGGCACATACAAGAATCAACCAATGAATGCATAAATCTCTCTCTCTCTAAAAAAATAAAATTTAAAAATCAATAAATTAAAAAACTATTTTTTAAAATGGCTCTTGTAAATGCCATCAAGGACCTCTATTATTGCCAAATTCAATGATCACTCACTTATGGTTGACAGAGCTGACATGATTGGCACCCTATCTTTCTAGGCTTTCATGAGATCAGTCTTCTCTGCTGGTTTCTTTTTAACATTTTGAAGAACTCCAGGGCTCAGTCCTTCCCCTTCTCTTTTCTATCTACACTCTCTTCCTAAGTAATTTCATCCAGTCCCATAGCTTTTTTTTTCTTTCTTAATATATCTATATTCATTTCAGAGAAAGGGAGAGGGAGAGAGTTGAAACATCAATGATGAGAGTCATCACTGATCGACTGGCTGCCTCCTGCATGCCTCTGACTGGGGATTGAGCCCGCAACCCAGGCATGTGCCCTAACCGGCAATCGAACCTCAGTTTCCTGGATCCTAGGTTCGATGTTCAACCACTGAGCCACGCCCAGCTGGGCCATAGCTTTATCATCTATAGGCTAATTTCCTCCCAATCTCTAGCTCCCAATGCTCTGATATCCACCTGCCTACTCAGACCTCTCCTGGACCCAAACCAAACTCCTGATCTTCCTCCCAAACTTGGTTTCCTGCAGTCTTCCACATTAATAAATAACTCTATCTTTCCAATTGCTTGGGTCCAAAAACTAGCAGTCTTTCCCTCACACCCCACATCAAATCCATCAGCAAATTCATCTCCTCCATCTTCAAAATATATCTAGAATTGAAGCATTTCTTATCACCTTTACTTATCTCTTCTCAATCCAAGTCTCTACCACCACTGCAACAATCTCCTAAACTAGTCTCTCTGCTTCTGCCCTTGCAGCCCCTTCCCTGCTGCCCTATCCTTTTTTTTCTCTCTTTACCATGTTTTTATTGATTTCAGGGAGAGAGAGGGAGATATAGAAACATCAATGATGAGAATCATTGACGGTTGCCTCCTGCACGCCCCCTACTGGGGACTGACCCCAAAACCTGGGCATGTGCCCTGACCAGGAATGAAACCGTGACCTCCAGGTTCATGGGTCAGTGCTCAACCACTGAGCCACGCAGGCTGGGCCCCATCCTTTTTTCAACATAGCAGAATTCTTCAAATCAGAGTGCATCATTTTTCTGCCTCAAACCTTCACACCTCGTTTGGAGTAAGAGTTCAAGTCCTTCAACAGGCTGACAAGGCTCTATGGGATCTGGATCCATTCCCATTACCACCCTGAGGCCTCTCCTACTCCTCTCATTCGGCATCTCTTTGATCCAGCCACAATGGCCTCCTGCTATTCTTTACCACCCAGACAAGCTCCACTTCAAGGCCTTTACACCAATGCTCTGATTGTCCTGCCTCCTTCAGTTCTTTGCAAAATGTCTTCTTTGTGAGGGACTCTCTATCCAATTTAAAAAATAGTTTCTCTCCACCAGCACTTTCTCTATGTCCCCACCATATTTTATTTTTCATCATAGCTATAACAATCACACAACATACTATCTATTTCACTTATTTGTTGTCCATCTACCAATGTGAGAGCAACAAGGAAGGGACTTTTGTCTGTTTTGTTCACCACTGAATTCCCAGCACCTTAGAACCCAGTATCTGAACTGGTGCATAATAGGTACTCAATAGATAGTTGTTAAAATAACGTATCTGAAACATAAAACTGCCCAGACAGGCTCCTCCCATCTCTGGAAATGGCATTCACTTGCCTCCTAACCAGTCTTTGGAGCATCTATTCCTGCCCCCTACAATCCATTTTCCACAGCACCAGAATCGTCTTTTTAAATATTTAAATCAGATAATTTCTTTACCCAGCTTCCCATTACCCAGTAAAATCCAAACTCTTTATTCCAACGCATTTCACACATCCTTCTCCCCCTTCACTCCTACACTCAGCCCTACTGGATTTTTCTCATTTAGTTCTTCTCAAAGCCAAACTAGATCTTGCCTGAGGGTCTTTGCGCTATCAGCCTGGAATGTTCATTCCCCATCTTTGCAGTTTAGAGGTCGGTTTAAATGTCACACC